ACACAATCCAGATTGTCACTGGCAGAGCTGGGATTGTAATACACGTCTGCCTTACTTTTCCACAGAGGAGGCTTCTAAAAGGAGGAGGCTTCTGGGTCTTTAAATGGTTGGATAGAAATTAGGTGCTTTGTGGGCAGTTGGGGAAAACATTACCCCTGGAGGAAGAGTAGCCTCAAGAAATGTAGCAGATATTTCAAAAGAATCAAAAATCTGTATTAAGTTTGTATAGCCGACAACACCTGATTTACATAAAGGATTATTATTATTTTTTTTTTTTGAGACAGAGTTTTACTCTTGTTTCCCAGGCTGGAGTGCAGTGGCGTGATCTTGGCTCACCGCCACCTCTGCCTCCTGGGTTTAAGCGATTCTTCTGCCTCAGCTTCCCGAGTAACTAGGATTACAGGCATGTGCCACCATGCCCAGCTAATTCTATGTTTTTAGTAAAGACGGGGCTCCTCCATGTTGGTGAGGCTGGTCTTGAACTCCCAATTTGAGGTGATCTGCCCGCCTTGGCCTCTCAAAGAGCTGGGATTACAGGCCTGAGCCACCGCGTCCGGCCCAGCGTATTTTTTTAAAGCTTCAAACCACCAATTTAACCGCGTAGAAATAGTAAGCGTAATACCGCCATAACCAATATATCTCTTTACCAGTGCTATCAGTTAGCAAGTCATGAACATTGCGTATTATGTCTAGTATATGTAGCTTTCTGTTCTGACAGCAGAGTTTATGTGCTAGTTCTGGATTTGTCTTAATAGATGATTTGAAAAAGAAAGCATTTAAAAGGATTCTGGTTTTACTGACTGATTATTCTCTGTAAAAATTCTACTCGGCTAGCAGCAAACTATCATTTTAGAAAAACCCTTTTCTACTTTGCGACCAGTGAGATGGAGTGACAAGAACTCCTGAGCCAGAAGCTAAAAGACGTGTTTTTAATCCTGGTAATACCACATAACTGGCATTGCAGTTGCCAGTAACACGAGAACTTGCTTAACTTTCACCAGCCAATGAAGTTATTTGCTTGCTTTCTTACCTCCTGTTATAGTGGAAGCAATGCTTTGTATCGTTTGTATCCTGTTCCTTCCCGCTGTCTGAAGGATGACCGTGCCCCATCAATAATCCCTTCGCACATCTTCAGCTACTCTGTGTTCACATTTAAATACTTGTGTCCCTTCCTCTTGAAAAAACGAAAACTCATAACCATCTAGTTAGCTTTTTATTGATTTCCTGTGCACAACTAAATTTGTCTGCTTCTCTACTTCCTACTCACTGTACTCTCACTGTCCCACTGAAATGGCTGTTGTCCAGTGTCACCAATAATTTCTGTATTGCTAATCCTAGTAGGTCTGCAATCCTTATTTGTAATTTCATTTTTGGAAAAGGTAGGTGTTGCTAAAGTCAGTAAGGCTACAAAGATGTTTAGAGAAAGTTTGTGATGGCAAAAGAAAATAGCTTTCTTTTTATTAATTTATTTGATAAATATTTATTGAGCACTTTTCGAGTCATTGACCATATAGTACTAGATAAAATGGACAAAGTTCCTATTTTTCTAGAGTTTATGTTCTCATTGGGGAAAACAGGCAAACAAAATAAGTAAAATATTATCAAGCAAAAATAAAGTCAAGCAGAGGAAGTTAGGAGTTTGGATATGGTGAATTTTAGATGATATGGCCAGCAAAGGCCTTACTGAGAACATGACGTTTGAGCAAAGACAGGGAGGTAAGAGAAGGCACCATTGCAGGTATCTGGGGCTGGGGACGAGTGAACCTGGCAAGCAATTTGTTTGGTCTTAGCAAAAATAGTTCATTTGTAATATGCGATGTTTTTGTAGAGTCCTTGTGATTAAAAAGAAGGATTTTGTGTGTGTGTACAGTTGACCCTTGAACAATATTGATATGGCCTGTATGGGTTTACTTATATGTGGATTTTTTTCAATAAATATATTGGAAATTATTTTTGTAGATTGGTGACAATTTGGAAAAATTCAGATGAACTTCATATCCTGGAAATATCAAAAAAATTAAGGAAAATCTAGGTGTCTCATGAATGCATAAAATATATATAGACAGTAGTCTATTTTATCATTTCCTACCATAAAATATATATAAATTTATTATGAAAGTTAAAATTTATCAAAACTTCTACACACTCCTGTGAAGCAGAGACGAGTCATGGCATTAGAAGAAAAAGTTGAATTCCTTGATAGGTAGCTGTGATTGTCACCATCTCAGACAAACGATTCATCTTGTAAACAAAGGATATAAACTTAATGGTATTGGTATTGACAGATACAATGCAGTACTATAAATGCATTTTCTCTTCATGGTGTTCTGTTCTGTTCTGAGACAGGGTCTCACTGTGTTGCCCAGGCTGGAGTGGCACGATCTCAGTCCACTGTGTAACCTCCACCTTCTAGGCTCAAGCAGTCTTCCCACCTCAACCTCCCAAGTATCTGGGACCACAGGTGTGCACCATATGCCTGGCTAATTTTTTATATTTTGTGTAGAAATGGGTTTTGCTGTGTTGTCCAGGCTGATCTTGAACTCCCGAACTCAAGCGATTTACCTGCTTCAGCCTCCCGATGTGCTGGAATTACAGGTGTGAGCCACCATGCCTGGCCCTTTGTGGTTTTCTTAATAACATTTTCTTTTCTTTAATTTACTTTATTGTAAGAATATAGTATATAAATACAGCATAATGGACTGTCAACAGTAGGCTGTCAGTAATTAAATTTTTGGGAATCAAAAGTTAATGTGGATTTTCGACTGCATGGGAGGGTTGGTGCCCCTAACTCTTGCATTGTTCATGGGCCAACTGTACACTGTTGCAAATTGATAAAACGTTATTTCTTTTTCATAGTTTAATCTATAGAATAAATGAAAACAAAATATTCTAAAGTTAATTGTATTTGACATTTTCTTTGGCATCTAAATGGGTGCATGTATTTTTTTTTTTTTTTTTTTTTTCCGAGACAGAGTCTCCCTCTGTCATCCAGGCTGGAGTGCAGTGGCATGATCTTGACTCACTGCAACCTCTGCCTCCCGTGATCAAGCAGTTCTCCTGCTTCAGCCTCCTGGGAAGCTGGGATTACAGGCATGCACCACCATGCTTGGGTAATTTTTGTATTTTTAGTGGAGACGGGGTTTCACCATGTTGGCCAGGCTGGTCTCAAACTCCTGACCTCGTGTTTCATCCACCTCGGCCTCCCAAAGTGCTGGGATTACAGGCGTGAGCCACGGTGCCTGGCTGGGTGCATGTATTTATAGTTGGAAATTTAGGTAATAGCATCTTTATTCCTTAAAGAGACATAGTTCTTTTTTTCTCCCAGGCCAGGCATAGTGGTTTACACCTGTAATTCCAGCACTTTGGGAGGTCGAGGTGGGCAGATCACTTAAGGTCAGGAGTTCAAGACCAGCCTGGCCAACGTGGTAAAACTCCATCTCTACTAAAAATACAAAAAAGTTAGCCAGTGTGGTGGCACACACCTATAATCCCAGCTACTTGGAAGGCTGAGATCACACCACTGCATTTCAGCCTGGGTGACGGAGTGAGGCTATCTCAAAAGACACACAAAGAAAGAATTATTCTCCCATCTCCAACAAATATTTATTTAAGTCCCATTCTAACTAAAGCCTGTGATTCTTTCTTAGTGTATTAGTGGTAAGATAGAATTATTGATGAGATAGCAGTCTGGATCCATTTCTGGATAGCTAATGGCACAAAGCGTCATTTCTTTGCCATTTACATAGTTATCAATAGGATGATTAAAGAAGAGAGAACTCAGATTTGAAACTTAAACAGCTACAAAAAAACAAAACAAAACAGTGATTTGGCCATCCAGAAATAAACACTGTTAAAACATTTTGATGTTAGGTCTTTCTATATACTTTCACTGCACACACACACACACACTTTAAACAATTAGCCTTATCCAGTACATACTGTTTTATAACCTATTTTTAAAAACTGTATTATTAATATTTTTTCATATTACATATTCTTCTAAAACATATTCAGCAGCTGCATACAGTCCGTCGCATATATCCATGTTTATTTAACCAATTCCCTATCATTAAATGTTAACTGGCTTTCAAATGTTTGCTGTAATAAATGATACTGAAGAGATGTTTATATATAAAGTTTTGATTACTTCTGGCTATTAATGCAGGATACTTTTTCAGGTAGTTTTATTTGTATAATGTATCTAGTTTTCTTTCATTGAAACAGTGAAACTTTGCTGCAAGAAAACTTAGTACTTACTGGAAGTTTATATATCAGATAATGTGCTAGATACCTTGCAGTCTTACATTTCATAGTCTTTGGCTGTTTTAATTCCCAACTTTATTGATTAAGAAATCTATATGTATACATGTATTTCTCAGTAAGTTAACAATTATGTAGAAAATGTTCAGCAAATATCAAAGGGCTTTGTGTAAGAACATGTTATTCAGCAGCCACAGGAGAAAATGAAAACTTACAGATGAAGTTTTAAATTCTGCTTTGGCTTTGGAGTATAAGAAGACAAGTTTTGGGGTTCTGTGGTGTTTTACCTTAAAAAGGGGTTTTAGGCCTAAAAATTATGTCATTTTTATCTCTATTCTTATTTTTATCTCATTCTTATCTCTAGGGGAAAAGTGTATGATTTTCTTACGAATCTTGGATTTTAGTCATATGGTTACTCTTTTAGTTTACAAACTGCATTGTATCTTTGCATTAGAAGTGGGTAATATTTATCTTACTAATTGAAGATGATTTCCTTTCACTTAAAATTCCAGGCATAACTTTTTCAGATGTTGCACTTGTAAGATCTAAGAGGTGAAAGTTGAGTGATTTAAGGGTGAAAAATGTGTGTTGCAGAGGGAGGTTGGTGGGAGCAGTGAGAGTCTGTGACTTAATGCTTTTACAGAGCTCTCTTGGCACCCTTTGATTATGAGACCACAAGATAAGAATTGTTTTTGGAACCTGGTATTTGTTTCCTAATGCAGTGGTTTGTTTTGTCTTAGTCACATCGATCAGACAACAACATGGCAGGACCCCAGGAAGGCCATGCTGTCCCAGATGAACGTTACAGCCCCCACCAGTCCACCAGTGCAGCAGAATATGATGAACTCGGCCTCAGGTGAGTGAGACACTGTAATTACAGCACATGAAATAATGCTTATGCATTGGTAAAAGTTGATGTGGAAAACAGTCATTACTCGTTTACAGAAACTGGGGCATGGGTGATGTTTATTGTCTCTCCAATTTCATACGGAAGACATAGTCTATTTAAAAATAACATAAGCTATATTATTGCCTTGTATAGTCGTTAATGCATAAGGGGACCAATAACTGAAAGCCAATGGTTCTTTAAGATCTGATTCTGAAGCGAGTATCTCAGATTTTAAGTTCTGTTAATTTTGACCTATTTGGTTTTGTTCTGCTACTTTCTTGTGTCTCAGGTATTTGAGTTGAAGTTACCCTCTTCCCTTTGTGGTTTGGATGGAAAGCCAAGCTATGGTGTTCTTATTTATTTATTTGCTATGGTGTTCTTAACCCAACCTTTAATGTGGTTATTCATTCGACCCTGAAAATACCTAGAAGGCAGTAACTTTTGTAAACCCAAAAGAGTATTTGTTATTCCCAGGGCGAGCATGGATTATTAAACATATCTTCACATTTTTACAGAAGAGTATAAATCTTTTTTTTCTACCTCTTATTTGGCAATTTACTTGAATCTGCAGTTTTTCTCATCTACATAATAGGGAGTAACAGTGCCCCTTATGATAGAAAGGAGGATATGAAAGGAAATAATAGAATTCATATGAAGCTTCTAGTAATTACAGAGTAGGTACTAAGTGAAAGTTTAGCTCCTTCATCTTCCCTATCGGATACCGTCTGGCCTCTTTCTCCTTCGTTAGGTGGATCGAAGGCCAGTTAGCCCATTATGTACCTTTGTACATGCTAGGAAAAGGTGCCCTTCCCCTGGGAAGATGTAACAGTATGCCTGGCATATGAGATTAGAGCATTTGGGCTGGATTTCTGACCACTTCTCTGGCCCCCACACATTACTCCACTGCTGAGTGCCCAGGTTCAGGACATAGATATTAACAATAGTATGTGGCAGCTCTGGTAGACTTGATGGCTTTCTCCACCGCCCATGCATTTTCCCTAGCCAACAAGCTGACGAACATAATATTCAGTAGCTACACAGTAGATTTCTTAAACAGCAGTCTTTGGCAAGGGACTGTTGTGGTTGGGTGGAAAGGGTGGTACAATTAGTTGACAGGAGGGTTCCTTGACTAGGCGAATTCACAGAACTTGAAACGTCCTTCTGCCCCTGAAGTTGATGCCAACATGCTGGAATGTTTCTGTTGTTACATACCTCTGCTCTTGCTTTTGGTGGGTTGAACATTTGAGTTCTAAAGAGTTAAGAGTGGAAAACAAAAAAAAGGGCAACATTTGTGATTGGGCTTTTCTTGACATAGACTTTAAATTCTGAAGAAAAATTAATTCCTTAAATACTTAACTCATAATATGAATACATTCTCAGAATCTGTTTTATATGTGACATTTAATTTAAACATTTTTAAGACAAAAATTATACAAATATTAATATTTTTACTTGGCAACTATTACTATGTTTTTTAATTACCAAATTTTCAAATAAAGTTGTGAAATCTGCCCTGTATTTATGGTTAAACAAGATGATTCACATTATTCATTTTGTCATGCTCCATCTAAAAACTATCTAGGCAGTTAATGACAGATAACGTTAATTTAAACTTTATTTTGAAAGAGTAAGTATTTTGCATCTAACAAGGTTGACTGTAATTCTTTTAGAACGTTGGTTTGGTTGTGTCCCATTACATTTTCTGATGGTAATGATCTAGAGAAATGAGAGTATTTTGGCTGAAATTTATGCTTTAAATCAAAGGTATATATCAACTTGGTTTTAGTGGGGTTTCTTTGTTTTTGTTTTTGTTTTTGAAATGGAGTTTTGCTCTTGTAGCCCAGGCTGGAGTGCAATGGCATGATCTCAGCTCACCACAGCCTCCGCCTTCCCGGTTCAAGCAATTCTCCTGCCTCAGCCTCCCGAGTAGCTGGGATTATAGGCATGCGCCACCACATGCGGCTAATTTTGTATTTTTAGTAGAGACAGGGTTTCTCCATTTTGGTCAGGCTGATCTTGAACTCCCAACCTCAGGTGATCCACCTGTCTTCCGCCTCCCAAAGTGCTGGGATTACAGGCATGAGCCACTGTGCCCAGCCGTTTTTAGTGGGTTTGAAAAGAATTGTGGATGTTTTATTTCAGCTGTATGTCCTAGGCAGATACAGTGGCTCACACCTATAATTTCAGCCTTTGGGAGACCCAGGTGAGAGGATCACTTGAGCCCAGGAGTTTGAGACCCGCCTGGGAAACATGGTGAAACCTTGTCTCTACAAAAAAATATTAGTCTGTTCATGGTGGTGCATAAGTGAAGTCTCACCCAGCTCTCAGGAAGCTGAGATGAGAGGATGGCTTGAGCCTGGGAAATTGAGACTACAGTGACCTGTGATTACACCACCATACTTCAGCCTGGCTGGAGTGGAACCCTGTCCCTGTCTTAACAACAACAAAAAATTTTTTTGTCTTGTTTCTAAAATACGAAATGTTTTAATATAGTACGTAAAAATTAGTATGCATATACATGTGTAAATAATAGAGCTGTATGTAGTAAAGAGGTGACTTTGATACAGTTTCAGTGGAGTGGCAAAAAGCATAACTGGAGGGTTAGGAGTGAGGGGGAGAAGGCATAAAGGAGAGGGTTGTGAGGAGAGAGTTGGAAGGAGGAACTGAAATGGGAAAAGTCACCTCTGAAGAGGCTTGAGTATGTGTACATGGTGCTAGAAGATATTTAACAATAATAATAGTATAATAATAATTCTTATTTGTATGCCAGGTATTCAGTGAAGGTCCATTTTGCACTGTCTCATTTAAGATCCCGTGTTCTTCCCTGTATGTTAACCAAGGATAGGATAACTGACAGAGTGAAGCCTCAGAGAAGGCAGAAACGACAAGGAACCACTAACAAACGTCCTGGAGGCGTTTTTAAATACTATTAATAGTAGATAATATAGGGTAACTGCTTCTCCAGAAGGTGGTGGGTGTGGAGATGATGTCTGCTTGAGGAGGTCTTGTTTCAAATAAAATATTGTTCCCTCAAGAGAAGAGAATATTCAAAGAAACACTTGAGGTCATTGCCTTTATGGGGACGGTCAGACAGTATGATGGGGAAAGGAAGAGACTAGCTGATGGGTCCAAAACCAAAGGCTTTTTAAAACATAAACAGCAACACTGATCCTAGGAGTCAGTCATAACTTTCAAAATTAGAGTGAAGTGTTATCTTAAATATATATGAATTCCCAGAATCAGACAAGTTTATATGTGGATTATTCTGAATTGCGTCGTATGGAGGCCTGCCGGTCCAGTGCCGAGGGTATTGGTAACATCTTTACAGCACTTGCCTCTTTTTCCTCTAAATTACATGCACTTGTTTGTTGTCTTTTCTTCCATTTCAATGGAAGCCCATGGTTTTGACATGCTTTGGAATGAATGTCACTGTAATCTTGATATACCTCATGTTCACATGAAATAACCATAACGTCATGTTAGCATGTTAATATAAAGTTTCACTAAGCAAAAGGATGCTCTTCTCTACTTGGAAAATGATCTTTTACGGAGTTTTAAAAATCTTACAGACAGGGAACAAGGACAACTGTGAGAGCATTTAGTAAATTTTGAGGGCGTTTAATGTAACAAAGCAGAAAATGGCTTCCATTGAAGCAGGCTATCTACAGAAAAGTTTCACCCTGAAGGGAATGTCTTCTGAATCTGCTGACCTGAAGCCTTCACATAAAAGAGAAAGCTACACCATGCTTTTGAAGCACTCTCCTGGGTTAATCATGCTAAATGCAACTTGATTTACATTTTTATTATTCATTATTTAATAAGGACTTTCTCGCTTTGCTTTTGTTTTGAAAAAGAATTCTTGTCATTCATAATTGAGTCCAGCTTCATGTTCTGCTCTGACTTCTTGTTCTTCATCCGACTGCTTTCCTTAAGATACTGTCATTTTCTCTAGACTCCCCAAACCTGTTTGCTCCAAATTTTCGTGGTTGACTAGGCTGAAAGATCTTTTAAGATTCTTTCCAATTCTTAAGATTTTATGAAACCCTATTTTGTTTTCTAATTTGCTTTAGCAAAAATGATCAGATTATGCTTTTATAAGTCCTTTTTCAAAATATGAGGTTGAAATGGTGGATTTTATGTATAGACTAGAGACCACTGGTTTGTGATTGAGCAAATTTCCAAATATCTATAACCGAGAATCACCCAAAACAAAGGTGCACCTGGAAAATATTCTAGAGGCAACACTCAGTACACCCTTAAAAGAAGATTAATTTATATTCTTTAACTATGCCACTTAAGTTGCAGGGTAAATGACAGTGAACTTTGTGAAAGAATTTGAAAGGTGAGGAATAGGAAAATAGAAAAATAAGAGGAAATGGAATAATTTATTAAGATAATGGTTTTATTTTACTTTATTCTATATTAAAATGTTCAGTGTATAAGTATATATAAAGTCTAGCCCGTTAAATTACTTGAGGTGATTGTCCTTTGAAAGTTATAATTTATAGCTGGGCGCAATAGCTAACGCCTGTAATCCCAGCACTTTGGGAGAGCAAGGCGGGTGGATCACGAGGTCAAGAGATTGAGACCACCCTGGCCAACATGGTGAAACCGTGTCTCTACTAAAAATACAAAAATTAGCTGGGCGTGGTGGCACGCGCCTGTAGTCTCAGCTACTCTGGAGGCTGAGGCAGGGGAATCACTTGAACCCAGGATGCGGAGGTTGCAGTGAGCTGAGATTGCACCACTGCACTCCAGCCTGGTGACAGAGCAAGACTCCATCTCAAAAAAAAAAAAAAGTTATTATTTATAAGGCTGGGTGTGGTGATTCATTCATGTAGTCCAAGCGCTTTGAGAGGCCAAGGTAGGAGGATTGCTTGAGCCTAGGAATTCAAGACCAGCCTGGGCAACATAGGGAGACCCCATCTCTATTAAAAATAAAAATTAGCCAGGCATGGTGGCCACAC